CAAAGGCCATGGCATCAAAGGGAAATATTAAACAAAATATCACCCCATTGCTTTTATTCTTGATTCATTTTTAACAAGACTTGTTGGCCAAGACTTGGAACCTTTAGTTTTACCTGCTGTTGGTGACAGACTGTTGGTTAATCCAAAATCGAGGTCAAGGGCAAAATTAGAACTCACTACCAGAGCCACTGACTCCCCCATCCAAATCCATACCAACACACTCGCTCCTCTCTCTTATGTCTTCACAACTGTCTAGAGGCCTTTGGCATCCGTCATATCTTCTGAAACCCAATCTGCAAGCACAGGACAGCTGGGGCACAAAGAAGTTCTCCCTGTTTGCCAAAATAGTGCTCCCATCCACCACCACCACTCTGTACATGTGGCCTGGAGGAAGAACCTTCAGGCGGCGTGTGTTTAGCTATGTTAAAAGTGACATGGTGGTTTGATGTTACAATGTACGCAAGTAAATTTCTCAAGCGGGGCAGTGAAATCAAGACGAACTGCTAGTGGAGATGGGTTATTTGTTTCAATGTTGCTTAATTTTTAGACAACGTAACAGGAAGAAAAAACAGCATAAACTAAAGTTAGAGTGGGGGAATCTGTAGGCTCAAGTTCAACCCTCCGACAATAATATTTACACCTCAGCCTTCCTGCCCCGACACGGCGACGGAGAGTAGAGGTGATTTTTACCTTGGCGTGAAAATAGACTTTTTATTATTCCAACCCACTGGCAACTTGAATATCAATAAAAATAAAAAATAAAACTCCTAGTGTTCCTCCCCATGTGTAAAACCAATGCCCCGTAGCGGTGGTTTTTATCTAGCAACCCACCCTTGACGCTAGTTATGCAGTACTAGAGGTTATGGGAGGAAATGCTTGCCAAGTAAATAAGTGAGTGAAGCGAGTGAATAGAGGGGGAAATACACAGCGGGATTGGAGCCAAAGTGAACCAAGGGTAAAGTCATGATCACTTCATTATGCTGTGCTGCAGCTTGACGTATAGTACAAAATCAGGCTGCTGCCCCCCCACACTCGTCACATCGCATCAAACCAGCCTCTGTGAAGTGTAGTCGGCAGGAGGCCCCTGACAAAACATCAGCTGATTAACGGGGAGGAAACTTAAAATGTGCCATATATCTCCTAAAATGACATCCGCCGGTCAAACATCCATCAACCACCCACCCTGCCAACAAGAAGGCCGGCCTGCCAGTCAGCAGGAAGCTTTTAAGGACCATCGTCAGTACAAAATAAGCTAGAATACACCCACTGAATTATAGAGGGCAGGCAGCGGGGTGGGTGGGTGGTGGGGGGGGGTGATGGCTAACAGACCTATTGGCACTCCATCTCCTCCAGTTCCAACAGCGCGGCGCCTGATAATTGTAGCCTCTATGTTTACGCATCCATTTTGGTAATGTAAGTGTTGATTTCTCATTCCACACTTGTAATGGGGGCCGTGGCCTTGGAATTCCTGAAGCGGTGCTCAAAAAGCACACAGAATAGCACAAAACTCTTTCTGGCTTCTTTTTTTTTTGTGCCCCCCCCTCTCAGTCTACTTGTGAAAATAGACCAGTGAGTCAGAGCCACTTGCCTGTGCTGAGACAATAAGGCTGTAAGGTGCAGGCGCACTTGTTTGTAAGAGGGCTCGACTTGGTCCCTGAGAGTGATGTGAATAAGAAAAACTACTCAGTGACAGTGTAGTCCTAAGATCAGATAACGGTCTACATGACTTAACACTTGTAAACATCTTGTGCATTTCTGTTCAAGAAAAGTATGTAAGTGTGTACTGGAAACGTTTCCTGAAAGGAAGACATTCTTTGCCCAACATGTACTTTGAAAAAACAAATCTGTTTGTTGTATAGAACTGTCCAAAAATTGAAAATGTAATTTCAGAATATGCTAGAGTTCAAGAACCGTGACCCAGAGAGAACTGGGTGGTAAACAAAGAATAGGCTAAACCCCTTCCAGATGCCGTACCTTTCATTGTTTACCGACTTGGACAACTTGACCTCACAAAAGCAAGCTAGTGGCACGTCAACTTCATTTTCAATCTCTTCATTTAACTCCCCATATGACCAAAAGTCTATCCCAAAACAAGATAATACAACTTTGAGGTTTTGGAAGTAACACATGAAAAAGAAAAAGGCTTGAGCAAACCCACGTCCACCAGCGCCAATTTTTGACAACTAAACCACTCTCTACCTTCAGAGACACTGGGATAAAACGGATCCCCCACCTCGGCGTGTTTCCGTTCATTCCTTCTGCCCTTTTCTGCTGTAGAACCAGCGAAATTGGAAATCGAACGTTGGGGTGGCAGCATTAATTGTGCCGTGTCAAAAAATTGGGCAACGACTGCTAATTGTCCTGAGACCCAGAGACCGTAAAACACAGAAGACGTCCAAACGAAGACTGCTGAGGGTACCGCTCTCTCCAGAGTTGCTTACTGGCTTTAAACCTGGAAATGCTTCAGCAAACAAAACAATTTACTTGCCGTCCCCCCCCCCCCCCCCCCCCCACCTCAATAAAAACCCAACCTTTCAAACACTTCTACTTCTTTATTGAGCTTAGTAAGATGCCTTTAGTCCTTATTGCATCAATGGTTATGGAGAACTACGGTTTTAGGTTTCTAATTATGTTTGCGTTTCTCTGAATGTATGTCCTAAAACCCAGGCTGCATGTCTTGTACCTGCATGCTCCCTCTCTGCTTTGGGAGCAATGAAGTCCCCTAGTGGCTCCTCAGGCGCACTGACCGAGCACAGGTGGACAGAAATCCCCACTTTCACCTGGCAGTGCATTTTGCAAGACTCCCCACTGTCACCCAATGAAAGGTCTTTTGGAAATATCCATTGACTTTTCAAGGAGTCAACTTTAAACCCCCCACCCCCACCAGCATCACCAAAAATACATAAACGTGTTCTAAAATAAGAAGCGAGGGATCTCTGGAGACCTGCAGGAATGCACTTTGAAGAATTCTTCACAATCCAGTCGCGGGGATGGTTTCTTCAACTCCAGCAGGATGCAGCGCTGGGGCTGGATGTGCATGACAGCTTCAAGGGAGCTCAAAATAAACGCTCGAACTGCTTCTGTTCGGGCTATTTTTAATAATAGTGGCTCGTCTCGACACAAACCTGCACATCATGAGAAAGATTAGCTGTCGTTTGCTCCTATTTACACGACATCCACCTTTATCGCCGCGCGCGGTAAATAAACGGAAACAACCCCGTGAAGAACCCCGGCTTTCATTCACCGGGAGCTGTTTGAACCAACTTCTCGGAGGCACCTGAAAGCACCGCAACAAAGTGGCACGCTCGTTAAAAAACCGTCTTACCTTGTCACCATGTTGAAGTCAAACTTAGCCTCCGCGCGGCGTGTTTGTTGGTTTCTTTTTGTTTGCTCGGAGTTTTATTTACATCCAGTTAATGGCAGCAGAGTCCAGAGGAATTTAAAATAACGCCAGGGAAGATTTAAAAATCCCGTCTCAGGCTCCTTTTCTTTTCTTTTTTTTCTTTTCGGGTTTCGCGTCTTCAGTTTAGTTGTCCGTTACTAGAGGGGCTCGCGCGCATGCGGCGCGTGCCATGTAATCTGTGCTTCTTGCTGCTCGTTAGGTCTTCTCTGGGTTGAACGTGGCGAGACTGTGGTTGTGTTTGGAGGGAGTGCGGTGTGACTGGGACTCACAGCCCTCCCACCACCCCTCACTCTCCGTGCCTGCCTCTTTCTCTCCCTCTTGTTTTTTTTTTTTTTTTTAGACCCGAGCACGAGCCTCGGAGTAAGAAGGTGTTTGAATGTTTCTTGTGACGTCACTCTGCCCCTCCATGTAAACTCGAGCCACCAGCACCCCGAAAATTCCTCTGCAGGAAGGTGAACTTACACAGCTGCGGGGTTTTTTTGTATTAAAGGGACATTCCGACCATTCTACAATGGTGGTCTAAAGAATAGTCTGGTTCTCTTGTATGACGGAGCTTTAAAAATTACATTGCCACGCTAAGAAAAAAAAAGCCATACAATTATGAGAATAAAGTCGTACGAGATTTTATTTTTATTTTTTTTTTCATTTAGCCTTTATTTATCCAGGTTAGTCTCATTGAGCCACGAGAACTCATTTTCAAGAGAGACCTGTTTAGGGAGCACATGGTGGGGGTTAAGGGCCTTGCTCATGGGCCCAGAGTGGGGCGAATGAGGGTGGAGGCAAGTGTGGGTGTTTCACCTACCCCACCCACAATTTTGATGTTGTCGGGGCCGGGGCGTGAACCCTAACCTCTGCGCCACCACTCCCCACCACATTTATTTTTTACAGCTGGCTGTCCTTAATGGTTTTTATTTCCCCACGAGTCGGATCCACGACCTGTCAATCAATCCAGTAGGCGTGTCAGCAAATGACCACTCCGAAAATAAATGCGTTGTAATAACTGAACTCCGACACGATAAAGCAGAGTTTACCGCATTTTAACTGTGATAAAATGAAAGTTTGTTAAACGTTACGCTCTTAGTCAAAACTTGCTCCAATACTGCCACCAACTGTTGTGTTTTTGTATGCTGCTTCTGGGATGCATATACGTGACGTCATTACGTCATGACTTTCGTTTTCGTTTCCGTTTGAAACCGGCGCTCAGTGAGAGAAGCTGTGTAATCCGTTAGCACATTAGCATCAGATTATTATCAATATCAGGACTTCGAACCTGCTTACTGTAAGGTTCCAGCTCTTGCAGGTAGGGAGCATTTAGCTTCGAATTGGTCATTTGCTGACACGCCTAATGGATTGATTGACAGGTCGCGTCATGGATCCAACTCATGAAAAAATAAAAATAACGACAGCTGTAAAAAAAAAATATATCTCGTACGATTTTATTCTCGTAATTATTCTCATAATTTTATGGCTTGTAATTTTTTTCTTAGCGTGGCAATGTTTTTGTTATTTTTCGCGTGGCCACGCTAAAAAAAAAAAATAAAAATTACATTGCCACGCTAAGAAAAAAAAAATACAATCCATAAAATTACAAGAATAAAGTTGTACGAGACATTTTTTTTACAGCTCTCATTTATTTATTTTTTCCACGAGTCAGATCCACAACGCGACCAGTCAATCAATCCAGTAGGCGTGTTGGTGAGTCGCTGGGTCTCTTCAGCCTCTTTCTTATTGAAGACCTCTAACAGAGCTGCACGCACACAGTTTCGCTCACTGAGCGCCATTTTCAAACGGAAACAAAAACGAAAGTCATGACGTAATGACGTCACGTATATGCATCCCCGAAGCAGCATACAAAAACTCAACAGCAGGTGGCAGTACTGGAGCAAGTTTTGAGTAAGAGCGTCAATAACTATAAAGTTGAACAAAAAAAATCTTAATTTTACCACAGTTAAAATGCGGTAAACCCTGCTTTATCGTGTCGGAGTTCGGATAATATTACAACTCATTTAGCTTCGGAATGGTCATTTGCTGACACACCTACTGGATTGATTGACAGGTCGCGTTGTGGATCCGACTCGTGGAAAAAAAATAAACGAGAGATGTAAAAAAAAAAACAAGTCTCGTACGACTATGTACTACGATTTTATTCTCGTAATTTTATGGCTTTTAATTTATTGTTTCTTAGTGTGGCCATGTTTTTTTTCTTCTTCTTCTTAGGGTGGCGCTAAAGCTCCGTCGTAGTTTTGAAGTGAAGTTATGTTTTAAAGTTAAACAGTACCTCACCACCAGTGGTACATCCAGACATTTTGTTTTCTTTTTGAAGTGGCCATGTGGGGCCAACTGAAAATTTTGGGGTGGCACACCTTAAAAGCTATAAAATAACTTCAGTAGTGGTACTAAACATTTGTTATGTTGTCATATATTGATTTGACAGCATGGAAGTTGGGGAATCCCTTTCTGAACTACATCGATCCACTTTACTTTTTATATGTTATTATTTACAATTAATATTATTATTGAGAAAAGTATGAAAGAGAAAGAAGAGTAGAGGTCATTGAAACTATGATATGCTATGCAAAACTTCTGCAAGACCAGCAAGTTTACAGTTAAAACATTTTCAACTCACTTCCAAATGACTCTTTCATGGACGTCGCAGTTTCCAAAAGAAACAAACGCACAAGATAGTGGGCAGCCATGCACAGAATTGTAATCTAAAGACGCATCACTACGAGAAATAAATTGTGTGGATTTTGTTTTTTACTTTTCTTTCTTTTAACGGTTCCACTTCAGCTCATTGCAGACAAGTTGTCAGCGTGTAGCTACTTCAATGACAAAATTGTGATGCACTTAAGATTTTAGGGTAGCTACTCACACAGGCATGTGGTTTAGCATGTACATTCACACTGGTTGACATTTCAAACAATTATTGTTGGTACCTGATCAATGGAGCAAGTGGAGCAAACGGTTTTAACAACAATATGGGTTGAACCCGAGGGCCAATAGGTTAATTCAACATACTGCAGTGTTTCTTTTCTTTACGGTTCCGTACAATGTTTGCCATTACCCAAAATGGACCATCCATCCATCCATTATCTTCCGCTTATTCCAAAGTCGGGTCACAGGGGAAGTAGCTTGAGCAGGGAGGCCCAAACATCTCTTTCCATTCCACAGCCACCTCTTCCAGCTCTTCTGGGAGGATTCCAAGGTGTTCCCAGGCCTACCAAGAGACATAGTCTCTCCAGCGTGTCCTGGGTCTTCCCAGGGGTCTCCTCCCAGTCTGAAATGCCCGAAGCACCTCCCTAGGGAAGCACCCAGGGGGCATTCTTACCAGATGCCCAAACCACCTCAACTGGCTCCTCTCAATGTGGAGGAGTAGCAGTTCTACTCTGAGTCTCTCCCGGATAACTGATCTTCTCACCGTATCTCTAAGAGAGGGTCCTGCTACCCTGTGGAGGAAACTCATTTCAACTGCTTGTATTCATGATCTCATTCTTTTGGTCACTACCCAGAGCTCGTGACCATATGTGAGTGTAGGAACGTAGACAGACCGGTAAACAGAGAGCTTTGCCTTACAGCTTAGCTCTCTCTTCACCACAACGGACCGGTACAGAATCTGCAATACTGCAAATGCTGCACCAATCCATCAGTCAATCTCATGCTCCATTCTTCCCTCACTCGTGAACAAAACCCCGAGATCCTTGAACTCCTCCACTTGAGGCAGAACCTCACCCTCGACCCAAAGAAAGCAATCCACCCTTTTCCAGTTAAGGACCATGGCCTCAGATTTGGAGGTGCTGATTCTCATCCCAGCTGCTTCACACTCGGCTGCAAACCACTCTAGTGAGAGCTGAAGATCATGGCACGATGACGCCAACAGGACCACATCATCTGCAAAGAGCAGAGATGGAATCCTGAGGCCACCAAACCGGAAACCCTCCGCCAGCTGGCTGCACCGAGAAATTCTGTCCATAAAAGTTATGAACAGAATCGATGACAACAGGCAGCCCTGGCCGAGTCCAACTCCCACCCTGAAGGGGTCCGACTTACTACCGGCAATGTGAACCAAACTTTCACATCACTTGTATAGGGACTGAACAGCCCGTAACAATGGGCCCCCAATCCCATACTCAAGGAGCAGCCCCTACAGTGTACCCCAAGGAACATGGTAGGGGTTGAACGACTACATAATTTTTAAACTCAACATTAACCTGATAAAACTCGAGTAGAACTCGAGTAGTTGATGACGTCATAGGATCTCAAGATGAAAAAATAAAAACGCAAAAAACCAATTTATTATTTACAAAAAAAAAAAAAAAAAGACCAACAAAACATTGGGAGAGTATATTATGCTCCTGCCAGTTATCATACTGCAAAATAAGTCACAGGAAAAACAAAACTATTGGTTTTTATTATTAAGCTGCAAAAGTGAAGAAACGTGCAGCACGTCAAAAACGAAATTAAAAACAGTGGGGCGGACAACCGCCCCACACCACCTTCAGCAGTGGTGGTTAGGTTTAGTTTTAGAGATTAATATGTTCATAGGTTTTTTTTATAGGTTTAGAGATGAATATTTTCTGCTTTTTGTTTGTGAAACAAGGTCAGAGGAAGCTAGTTCTGGTTCGGTCATTAGACCCAGTGTTACACCGTATTCTGTGATCTGCAACAGTGCATGCAACACCGCCCCCTACGGTCACAATATACGGTGGTCACAGAAAATGGTATAACACTGGTTTGCAACGAGCTCCAAACGGTCAGGAAGTTGATTAATTTTCTGTTTCCTTACTAATCTTTAGTGAAATATTTCCATACTACTGATGCATTTCTACCTGTTTGCCAAGACTGGGCCTGCTCCACTCAGTCCATCTGCTGGGAGGAATCCATTTGGTAGCTTCTACTAGTAGCCCGGTGCGGATCACGTGACACGTGACGCAATGACATAACTGCGACGTAATGATGTCACTGCGAATACTCAACATGAAATTTAAAAACTCGATAGACTTGTCAATTACTCAAGTAGTCTGTTAAAGCCCTAGAACACGGTCGAATGCCTTCTCCAAGTCCACAAAACACATGCAGACTGGATGGGCAAACTCCCATGACCCCTCGAGGAAACCTAGTGAGGGTAAAATCCAGTGTCCCACGGCCAGAACAGGATCCACATTGTTCCTCCTGGATCTGAAGTTTGACCAACGATCAGACTCGCTTCTCCAGTACCCCTGAACAGACCTTACCAGGGAGGCTGAGGAGAGTGATGTCCCTATAATTGGAGCACATCCTCTTTTGGAAGGGGGAACCACCACCCCAGTTTGCCAATCCAGTGGCACTGCCCCCAAAGTCCACGCAACGTTGCAAAGGCGTGCCAACCAAGACAGCCCCACAACATCCAGAGCCTTAAGGAAATCAGGGTGAATCTCATCCACTCCCGGAGCCCTACTGCCTTGG